TTTGTTTTTTTTGGTTTTTCCCATGGTTTTCCCAAAGTTATGGCACTCCTTCAGAAAAGGGGGAGAGGGGGAGGAGGCGGATGAGGACGAGGAGGAGGAGGAAGAGGAGGATGATCGGGAAGAGGATGAGGAGGAAGACGGAGAAGGATGAGGAGGAAGAGGAATGCGCGACGAACGAAAACACACAGAAGAGAGAGCGAGAGAGAGAGAGAGAGAGAGTGAAGGAGGAATGAGGAGGAGGAGGGAGGAGGTGAGAGAGAGGCTTAGGAGGAGGAAGAGGGAGGAGGTGAGAGCGAGGCTTTCTGCATAAAATCTGTAAATCGCAGGGGTCCGAAACCGAACCGAAACCTAGTATTCATATTGAGTAATTGTGGAGGAAGTGGAGGAGGGAGAGGAGGAGGAGGAGGAGGAGGAGGAGGAGGAGGAGCAGGAGCAGGAGCAGGAGGTGGAGGAGGAGGAGGAGGAGAAGGAGGAGGGGGAAGGGAAGAGGAGGAGGCAGGAGGACAGGAGGAGGAGGATGAGGGAGGAGGAGGAAGGAGGAGGAGGAGGAAGAAGAGTTGGATCAGCAGCAGCAAGTAGCATGGTGGAGGGATTCGCAGGGTAGGGGGAGGGACGCGGGAGGGATAGGGATGGGCTTTGCCCTTCTCGCCCATGGGGTCGGGCGCCGCAGCCCGAGGTCGGCCGTGGCCGTGCAGGAGCGGAAGTTCGGGCTTGCCCCGCTGGGAAGCGGTGTCCAGGCCTCGCCGGGCTTGGAAGTCGGTGCGACAGGGTGGCCTTCCTCAGTGAGGAAGGCCACCCTGTCGCACTCCTCCTCCTCCTCCTCCTCCTCCTCCTCCTCCTCCTCCTCCTCCTCCTCCTCCTCATTGTTTGTTCTGCGCCGGGTGAGCTGAAGCCACGGAGCTGGAGCGTGCCAGTCTTCCTCCTCCTCCTCCTCCTCCTCCTCCCTCCCTCCCTCCCTCCCTCCCTCCCTCCCTCCCTCCCTCCTTCCCTCCCCTACCTCCCTACCTCCCTCGCGTCTCGGTTAGGTTTTTTTTGGACAGCCCGTGTGCCTCAGTGCCTCCCTCGCGCCTCGGCCCGGGGACAGCCCGACGGCGCACCACCCTGTCCGCTTGGGAGGGGCCCCCTGGCATTGGTGTTGCGCTCCCCCCGCCACCCCCTCGCGCTACGCCCGGGCGAATAAGTCGGCCCTGTGCAGGGCTCGGGGATTGATAGAAGCAGCGCAAACAAACAGAAAAGACACCATCAGAGCAGCACGTCGTCGTACCAACGACGTTCCAACGACGTGGTCAGAGCTGCACGTCGTCGCCCCAAACCCTCCTGAGGCAACTGTTTGATCCGAGGTTCCAGTGCCGCGGCCCGCCAGTCCAGGGCGGGTTCTCCGGATCTGATGGCAGCGCGCGTTCGCTCTCGCTCGCTCCCGCCCTTCCCTCCTGCGCCGGGTTTGGTGGCCCCACCCCGCTCGGGGGGGGCCTCTCGGCTTCGGGGTCGCGCTTTGCCCCCCCCCCCCCCCCCCCCCCCTCTCCCTCCCTCCCCCTCCCTCCCCCTCCTCCTCCCTCCCCCTTCCCCCGTTCCTCCCCCCCCCCGTCCGCCCCCCCCCCCCCCCCCCCCCCCCCCCTCCCCCCCCTCCTCACCCCCTCGCCCTCCCCCCATCACTATCCCTCCCCCCTCCTGCGCTGGGACTGGTGGCCCTCGGGCATTGGCGGCCTTCGGAGGCGGGGTGCCTCGTGTCCTCGGCCCCAGCCCTCCTGCTTGCCTTCCCCGCACCCGCCGTGGGGGGGGGGGGCCCAGGGAGGGCCCTCTCCTCCTCCTCCTCCTCCTCTCCTCCTCCTCCTCCTCCTCTCCTCCTCCTCCTCCTTTCCTCCTCCTCCTCCTCCTCCTCTCCTCCTCCTCCTCCCCTTCTCCTCCTCCTCCTCCTCCTCCCCCCCCCTCCTCCCCCTCCCCTCCCCCTCCCCCTCTCTCTTCCTCCTCCTCCTCCTCCTCCTCCTCCTCCTCCTCCTCCTCCTCCTCCCTCCTCCTCCTCCTCTCCTCCTCCTCTCACTCCTCTTCCTCTCCTCCTCCTCCTCCTCCTCATCCTCCTCCTCTTCCTCCTCTCCTCCTCCTCCTCCTCCTCCTCCTCCTTTTCCTACCTCTCCTCCTCCCCTCCCCTCCTCCTCCTCCTCCTCCTCCTCTCCTCCTCCTCTCCTCCTCCTCCTCCTCCTCCTCCTCCTCCTCCTCCTCCTTCTCCTCCTCCTACTCCCCCTCCTCCCTTTCCTCCTCCCTTTCCCCGTCTAGATTCCTCCTCGTCCCCCATTCTCTGGGAAAAATCTCCTCGTCCCCCCTGGCAGTTGCAGCAGGAGTCTAGGCTCCGCCATGGGGGAGGCGGGTCCTGAGGGGAAGCGGGTTTTGAGTTTTTTCGCCGTTTTCGGGCCCTCGGGGCCTTCCTCGGGCCCCAGCTTTGTCAGAACAACGATTGAGGATGAAGGACTCGTCCTGGGGGAAGGCCCCAGGGTCCAGGACCCGTTCCCTCAGGACCCGATTCCACGTACTGACCTCCTGCAAGGTGACTTCCAACATCGACACTGGGTCAGACCACCGGCCGCTCAGGATGGGCATGCTTCTCGGCACAAATATAGAGAAGAAGACACGCGCTCCACAGCCGTCTTGGGGGCCAGATGTGGACGCGGACAGCTACGAGGCGTGCGTGGATCGCCTACTACAAGAGCGGCCTGCCACCAGAGAGGGCCCTTTCTGAAGCAGCAACCATGATTGAGAACGTCATGGTGGATAGTTTGGCTTTAACGTGCCCGCGCGCTCGGAGGAAGTCAACAGAAACCCCGGAAGACAAGGACGTACGCCGCTTGTCAGAGGAACGGCGTCAACTTAGGCGGTCTGCAAGTCTTTCGGGCCAGGAGGAGGCAGCGCGGCGAAATACATTACGCTTTGGAATCAGACGCTTGATCCGGAGAAAAAGGGCGAACCAGAAAGCGGCGAATATCGAGTATATGTTTGGCGATGTTCAAGGTCTGAGCACAATTGCACGCGCCGGGGCAACGGCAAGAAGGGATCAAGTCGCGCAGGTCATCGATGACTACGTGGCCGAAGTGTTCGCTTCCTTCTACGAGACGCTCTACGCGACCACTGGGGGGCAGAGCCATTCCGGGAAGGATGCGGGCGGCGCGCCGCCGGATGTTACGATGCTCGGGCTGACGGATGCCATCCGTGCCATGAAGAACGGGAAGTGCAAGGACTCCGCTGGCATCGTTGCAGAGATGCTGAAGAACAGTGGCGCGAGCTTGCGGGACAGCGTCCTCCCGTTGTTCAACTCCGTGCTCCAGCCAGACAAACAGCCACCTGCATCGTGGAGACGCACCAAACTGATCGTATTGCTCAAAGAAGCAGGGGCCCTGCTTTTCCGACGAGCTACAGACCAATCGTGAGTCTCCCGATGCTGTACAAGTTTTTTTGCACGAGTGGTTCGCAGTCGCTTACAGGACGCCATACTTTCGCAGCAATCGCAAGAACAGGCTGCTTACCGTGCAGGTTTCTCGACTGAAGACCACCTGCCCGTCCTGAAAATACTTGTCGTGATATGCAGCGAGCGGAATCAGGCATTGTGGCTCGTGCTCGTAGACTCCGAGAAGGCTTTCGACACGGTCAAACACGGGGCGCTGTGGGGCGTTCTGCGTGAGTTCGGTAACGACGACATGTACATTGGGCACTTCGAAAACTGTACACGGACGAGTCTGCTTCTGTTGTCACTGGAGTCGAATCCCGCTCACTCCGCCTAACAAGGGGGGTAAAGCAAGGGGATCCAATCAGCGCTCTGCTACTCATTGCAAGGAATCACGCGTCAGATCCTTGAAGATAACATTGCATGGGCACAACCGGAGACGTGATGGACAATCTATTGGCTTCGTGATAGACGACCCGGAGGATCCCATCTCGAACCTTTGGCTCGCCGATGACGTCCTAGTACTCGCGCAGACGAGACAAGACGTCGCGAAAATGCTAGACCATCTTCAGACCGCCGCTGCCAGATACCGGCTCCGAGCCAACTTCGAGAAAACCAAGACTATCACCAACGGCCAGCACGACGCTGGTGGTTTCATGCTCGTCGTCGGCTCACTCCCGGGTCAAGATTATTCCACCTGGAAAGGCCCAGAAGTATCTAGGCCGCGCTATCCATTTTCATGATTATCGTGGCGCGGACATTTCAAATCGCGTCTCGGCTGGATGGATAGTTTTTTGTTAGAGCGTTTATCCGCGAGGTTGAAACTTTTGGATTTGGTGGTCACTTCGGCGGCTTCATATGGATGCTCGTGCTGGGCGATGAAGGTGGAGGACTGCCTGGCGCTCGCGAGGGCGCGTTGCAAAATGCTGCGACAATCTTCCAGACTCCGAGAAGGCATGAGGAGGAGTTGGATAGCTTGCGTCAAGAGGTCCACTCGTTCATGCGAGCAGATGTTCGAGAACGAGGACTATGTGATTGGGTTGAGACGCAGGGAAATCGAACAAATTGCAGGTCGCCTTCTAGGCAGGCACATGCACGACAGCAAAATGAAACAATCGGCTGCTGGACTTAACCCCATGGTTCCGGACACGCGAGGCAGGCGCGTAGGGCGACCTTGCACGCGATGGTCGAATGAGTTCTGATGCGCTTGAAGCTGCATGACCCAGCTCCAGACCCCGCTCCTGCCCCCGCCCGCGCTGGGCCCCACGCCTCTGGGGTTTTTGGATCTGCGCCCGCCTGCCCTCCCTTCCTCCTTTCTTTCTTGCCTTCCTGACCCTCCTCCTCCTCCTCCTCTTCCTCCTCCTCCTCCTCCTCCTCCTCCTCTTCTTCCTCCTCCTCCTCCTCCTCCTCCTCCTCCTCCTCCTCCTCCTCCTCCTCCTCCTCCTCCTCCTCCTCCTCCTCCTCCTCCTCCTCCTCCTCCTCCCCCCTCTCTCGCCTCTCCCTCCCCCTTTCCCCCCCCGCGGGCGCAGGCCCTTGCGTTCCGGGCATGTTGCCCTGTTTCGGGGGCGGCACTCGTGGAGCCTGTCTCACCAGTGCGACGGGAGACGCCGCCACGCGCTTAAAGTTTGGGTTTTCAAGTCTCACTCAGTCTGCCCAGGCGCGCCTCCGCGCGTCGTCAGGGGCCTGGCCCGCCGGCCGGTCAGCAGACCGCTCGCTCGCTCGCTGGCCTCCTAGATGGATGGGGTCGGAGCGCATGGGGTCGTAGAGTCGCGCCGCATCGCAGATACATCGGCGATGCGGCTCCATGTGGGGCCCGATGTTTTACATGCCGACGTCGACCATGCATCGCCGACGTCGCCGATACATCGCCGATGCATCGGCGATGCGGCTCCATGTGCAGCCCGATGTTCTCAATGCCGACGTCGCCGATACATCGCTGATGTATCGCCGGTGTATCAGCGACGCGGCGCGATTCTCCGACCCCATCTATTCCGACCCCAAATTGGGGGCCTCTATGGAGGGGGTTGGCTGGCCGCAAGGGCCAGCCGACGTCTTCGCCGAGTTCCGTGCTCGTAGGCAATTGGTTTTGCGAGTACGGTCTGTTGTTGCCGTAGGTGCGCTGGACAATACATCCGATCAGACTCGGTCAAAATTCCCTGCAGGTAGCGCCATCGGTGTCTGGGGCTCTTGGAAGAGTCTGGGTACACGCCGCAACCATGTCGCTCTATGGTTTTGATCGGGCGTAAGGCGTAGCTTCGGCACAGAGGCGATTCGCTGGCGCTCTGGCCCGCCCGTTTTGCTGCTTTGACTTTGCATCGCTCAGACGTGTGCGTGTCTTCCTCGGCGAGGACCATTCAAGAGCATCCCAGATCATCGTGCGGAAAGAATGCGCGCACGAAGCCAGACACTGCACAGGGGAATGGGCGTCCGAGCGATGCCGAGCACGAGGCCCCTTGGCAGGCCCGAGGATCTCACGGCGCGGCAGCTGAGAGGCCTCTGCCCTTCCCCTGCCGGGCGGTGCTCTAAGGACCAGGACAATTCGCTCCAGGACCGGTGCTCTGAGGACAGGTGCTCTATGGGGTCTCTATGGGGCACCTCGGAACGGCCGCGGCGCTCCGTTTCGGCGGCGAGCGAAGGGGGGGGAAGTGAGACGGGGCGAGCCTTTTCAGAAGACTCGGAAGTCCCCCAGCCTTCCGAAAAGTGTTCTGAGCCTTCCCGGAAGACGCAGACAACCTTTCAGAAGGCCTGGTGGTTTCCGAGAGGTCCCGCCGTCTTCTGGGACCTCTCCTTCTTACTTCCCCCCCTCGCTCGCCGCTCACACGCATCCTCCAGAACCGCCGAAGTCGAGAGATCCTCGATATGTCCATGTCCGATGGTGTCCCGGTCTTGGCTTCGCTCACCCTGTGTACCGTTGCGTTATGCTCTTCTTGCCATTCCAGGTGTTCCTCGCCTCCTGCGGCGTGTGGAGCCACAGGACAATCTTTCAGGGGCTCAACCCCTCCTCCTCCAGCCTCCTCCGCCCCCTCCGCCTGCGCAAGACCTTGCGCGCCAGGGAGCGTCCGACGATCAACACAAGCCTCCTCCACCTCCCTTTCACCCTCTTCCTCTTCTACAGTCGGGCCGAGATGTAAGATCGAGGTCGGTTCGGGGAGGGTACCCTAATGTTCTTCGTGTTTGTTGCATGTTCTTGTTAATCCTGGGGAGGGTAGTTGCCCTTAGCTGTTCTGTGCGTCGTGGCCAGCGGAGGGCCTCATGCTCTTGAGGGATGCTCTTCTGGCCCAGGCCCGACTGTACAGTCGGGGCCCTGAAAAAGGAACCCTTTTCGTTGGGGAGGGGCTCAGTTTTCCTTGATTGCTTTACATTGTGCCTTTGATTTTCCCGAGGTTTTCCCTGGGAAATCGAAGTTTAACCTATGGGGAAAAGGGGCCCCGTTCCTTATCTGGAGTTCCTTAGGTCAACGCCCCGACGGTACTCCTCCTTCCCAGGCGAAGGCGGGTGGGCAGGGGGTGGGGGGTTTCTGCAGGGCTCCTACCGTGGTGCCCCGAGGCCGACCGGGAGGTGCGGGACGAGGACGGCGAGGCCGCGGCGCGCCAGTTTGCCTTCCGCGGGGCGGGAGAGGGGAGCGGGGAGGAGGGGCTGGAGGAGGAAGGGGAAGAGGAGGAGGAGGAGTAGGAGGAGGAGGAGGAGGAGGAGGAGGAGGAGGAGGAGGAGGGGCTGGAGGAGGGGCTGGAGGAGGAGGAGGAGCAGGAGGAGGAGGAGGAGGAGGAGGAGGAGGAGGAGGGGCTGGAGGAGGAAGGGGAAGAGGAGGAGGAGGAGGAGGAGGTCCCTCCTCATAGGCCCCATACAAAATGTTCATGTTTCATGGAGGGAATGGCACCGTTTGGGGGGGGCAACCGTGTAAACATCCTCAAGCGCACCCGAACACGATTCTTCAGGACTTCGACGCCACGAGTTAACCTGGTTGTGAGGTTTTGGCGATCCTGGACCGTGCCCCGAACACCATTCCTTGGACCTCGACGCACCGAATCAGCGTAACATGATTCGGTCCAACATTCCATCTTTGGTACGTTAGCCGGGAGCTTTTTTGGGGGGGCGAATTGTCAGACCGAATGTGCGCGGCGTTTAGGCGAGAGCCCCATTTCGAAAACCACCTGCCCTCAAGCCGTGAAACCTCTGCAAACGTTTAAGACGAACGTGCGCGGCGTTCAGGCTAGAGGCACATTTTGAAAACGAACGGCCCTCAATCCGTGAAACTATTTCAAGTTGTTGCGACGAGCGTGCGCGGCGCTAAGACGAGAGCCGCATTCTGAAAACGGCCCGCCTTCAATCCGTAAACCCTTGCGCATTTTTGAAACGAGCGTGTGCGGCATTACGGCGGGAGCCATGTGTTTTCAATCCCATCAGTCCGTGAAACTCTTACAGTTGTTTAAGACGAGAGAGTGCGCGGCGCAACGTCGAGAGCCACAGTTTGAAAACCACCAGCCCTCAATCCGAGAACCTCTTGCACATTTTGAAGACGAGTGTGCGCGGTACTCAGGCGAGAGCCACGTTTCGAAAACCACCCGCCCTCCATTTGACGACCAGCCCGCTCTTTCGACCGGCCTCGGTGTGCGACAGGCAGGATTTTTTGTTGAAAGGGAAAGTCAATGAGGAGGAGGAGGATCCTGCGGACGAGGAGGGAGCGGATGTGAAGAGCGATAGAAGAGGAAGAGGAGGAGGAGGACGACGACGAGGACTCGACCGAGGACTAGGAGGACGAGGAGGGCGATGACGACTCGCATTAACAGCGGCAGGGGGAATGTCGAAAGGCGGCCCCGCGCAGCACCCAACAATTTTCGAGGCTGGGGGTTCGCATCGGGCGTTTCCTTGGAGGAAGAGGGCAGCAGCAGGCGGCATGCGGAGGCGGACAGAGGGAAGATAACAAGTTACGAAGGAACAGGGAAAGTGGACGATGTAACGTGAAGGAGGAGCAGCAGGAGGAGGGTTATGATGATGAGGATGGTGATGCTGGTGGCGGGATGATGCTGCTTATGATGGTGAGGATGAGGATGAGGATGATGTTGAAACTGATGATGCTGATGATGCTGATGATGATGATGATGGTGATGATGTTGATGATGATGATGATGATGATGATGATGATGATGATGATGATGAGGTTGATGGTGTTGATGATGTTGCTGATGCTGATGCTGCTGATGATGATGCTGATGCTGATGACGATGATGGTGCTGATGATGCTGATGATGATGATGATGATGATGATGATGATGATGATGATGGTGATGGTGATGGTGATGGTGAGGATGATGGTGATGATGATGGTGATGTTGAAGAGGAGCAGTGAGGAGGAGGAGAAAGATGAGGAGGAGGAGGAGGGAGCGGATGCGAAGGGCGGTAGAAGAGGAAGAGGAGGAGGAGGAGGACGACGACGAGGATTCGACCCAGGACTAGGAGGGCGAGGAGGGCGATGACGACTCCCAGTAGCAGCGGCAGGGGGAATGTCGAAAGGCGGCTTTTCGAGGCTGGGGGTTCGCATCGGGCGTTTCTTTGGAGGAAGAGGACAGCAGCAGGCGGCATGCGGAGGCGGACAGAGGGAAGATAACAAGTTACGAAGGAACAGGGAAAGTGGACGATGTAACGTGAAGGAGGAGCAGCAGGAGGAGGAGGGTTATGATGATGAGGATGGTGATGCTGGTGGCGGGATGATGCTGTTGATGATGGTGAGGATGAGGATGAGGATGATGTTGGAACTGATGATGATGCTGATGATGCTCATGATGATGATGATGGTAGTGATGATGATGATGTTGATGATGGTGATGAAGATGATGATGGTGTTGATGGTGTTGATTGTGTTGCTGATGCTGATGCTGATGCTGCTGATGCTGATGATGTTGTTGCTGATGCTGCTGCTGGTGCTGCTGATGATGATGCTGATGATGATGATGATGATGATGATGGTGATGGTGATGGTGATGGTGATGGTGATGGTGATGGTGATGGTGATGTTGAAGAGGAGCAGGGAGGAGGAGGAGGAGGAAGAGGAGGAGGAGGAGGAGGAGGAGGAGGAGGAGGAGGAGGAGGAGGGAGAGGAGTTCGATGACGATGACAAGGGTGGCGGGGCTGATAATATTGTGGTAGTGAGGATTTGAGGGGGATATGGGGAACTAGTGTGGGAATGGAACGAGACAGGGGCGAAGAAAAGCGAGGGGCAGCAGGAAGAGGACAAGAGAGGAACGATGATGCGGAGCAAGTGAGCGCGCCATTCAAGGTGGAGGAGGAGGAGGAGGAGGAAAAGGCCGAGGAGGAGGAGGAGGAGAATATGGAGAACGACGGCTACGACCACCACCACCACGACGACAACGACGATGGCGACGATGGTGTTGACGATGGGGGCGATGATGAAGAGGTGGTTGGAGCACTGCTGGAATCCGTGCTGTCGCCATGCGAGCCCCCTCCATGGGGAGCATCCTGCCCTGGGCCGCCCGGGGTACGGGGCGAGCTGACCGGCCAGCGAGGTCTTCGTGGGAGCGCACGCCGGTCCTGCTGGTCGCCCGTCCCCCCCTGGCGGCGCTTGGGTGCCGCCGTGCGCGGAGAGGCCTGGGCTCAGGGCGCAGCTGCGTGCCTGCCGGCGGTTCGCAGGCTGACGGGACTCCTGCCTCTGTGTTACGTCGGGATTGTCCCTCTAGAGGAGGAATCTTTCTGAATAGTTAAGAAATAATTTGGGGATGATGTTTCAATTATTGTTTGATCATTTGGGGTATGTTTGGACTAGTTTTTTATTTTTCGTCCAACAACGGCCTGTAGGGGGGCAGGCCCGACCTAACCTTTGTCTGCGTGTTCTTGCGATTCCTGAGGGTCCCGGCGCGACCCCGCGTTCAGTACTTTGCCGACTCCGCCTCGCCGCTGCGCGCGAGGCGGCTTCCGCCAAACAGTGTGTGTGTGTGTGTGTGTGTGGCTCCGGCTTCCTTGCGCCACCGCCGGGCGTCCTCCTCCCCTCGTGCATCGCGGCCTAATTCGAGTTCGATTACCCTTCGACGCCCTATCTGCCGGCGCAGTCCTTCTGCCGAGCCGCCGTCGCAGCAATTGTGTTTGTGTGTGTGCGTGTTCTTGCGGGGGTCCTGGTGGGCAGTGGTTCTCGTGGCCTTCCCTGCCTCGCTCGCAGAGCGACCGCCTCCAGCTCCTGCGACCGTCTCTCCGAGTCCGGCTCCGACCCAAGCTCGCGGCGCGATGCAGTGGGGACCCATGCCAAGAAACACCCTGCTTGCCTCCAGGGTGCCCCCTGGGTTCCTCAGGTTTCAATGGTCTCGCGATGGAGAGCGCTACGCCCCCACGCCAAAACTCAGTGGACGCCCTAGGGTCTCAGGGTCGGGTTCCTTGTGGAAGGTTTCATGTGGATTGGCCTCCACTGTTCCCCGCGCTGGCCTCGTCGGGAGGAGCAGGAGGAGCAGGAGGAGCAGGAGGAGCAGGAGGAGCAGGAGGAGGAGGAGGAGGAGGAGGAGGAGGAGGAGGAGGAGGACGGTCCCGACGGACGGACACTGCGCGCCCGCCCCGCTCCGTCCGCCCCCCACGGGGCGCGGCCGTCGCGCGGCCGGCCGTCGCAGACGGTGGCGGCGAGCCGCGCAGCCTGCGGGGCACGCGCGAGCCAGAGCGGGGGCGGCGCCTCTGGCGCAGTGCCGGGCGGAGGTGCGGCAGGAGGGGCCGGATCTCCTCCTCCTCCTCCTCCTCCTCCTCCTCCTCCTCCTCCCTCCTCTCCCCCTCCTCCTCCCTCCTCCTCCCCTGCTCCTCCTCCTCTCCTCCTCCTCCTCTACCTCTCCTCCTCCTCCTCCTCCTTCCTCCTCCTCCTCCTCCTCCTCCTCCTCCTCCTCCTCCGCCCTCCTCTTCCGCCCTCCTCCTGCTCCTCCGCCTCCTCCTCCTCTCCAGCGTGGGCTGGGCCGCCACGCAAGACGGAGCCGACGCAGCGCCCACGAGGCCGGGGGGCTCGGAGTGCCACCTTGTCGGAGGGCGACTGCACTTTGTCTCCGCAGCCGTGGTCCAGGGGTCTCAGGTGGCGGGCCCGCGCTTGGGCGTGGACGCAGAGCAGCGCCGCAGTGGAGGCCGCCGTGTCGCACGCGATGCGCGTCGCCTCCCGGGCTCGCCTCGCCTGCTGCAGCGTCGACCATGGGAAAGTGCAGGTGGAAAGGAGAAGTTGCTGTGTGTATGAATTGCTCTTGATTTGGTGTGGGGGATTCGCCTAAGTACTTTTTACCGCCCTCGGGCGGCTATGGGGGGGGAAGGGGCATTTCCCAAGAGACACGGACGAATCAGATGCGGAACATGTGGAGGACGGGGGAAAGGAGGGGGAGTAGGCAACCCCCCGATGGACGAGGAGGAGGAGGAGGAGGAGGAGGGAGAGCAGGAGGAGGAGGAGGAGGAGGAGGAGGATTCCAGGATTACCGCCATCGCAGGTGCGATAGAACTCTACCGACTACTTCACACCGGCCTGGGAAGCCTTGGGGTGAAGGCCGCGAGAGAACTTGTCCAGGTATTCGCGGCGTGCCCTCGTCAAGGGCTGGACTCCACACGGCTTGCCAAGACCACGGAGCTGATCTTGGGCAAAGAAGCCGCAGTCTTTACACATCCAAGCCCGAGACAACTCACAACAAACCAAGATGTGCGCGGGGTGGGCCCAACCTCCAGCGATGTGCAAACGCCGCCAACGGGGGAGTTTCAAAGTCCCACCGTCAACGGCCTGAAGGGGTCCACACTGAATCTTAAGCCACTCGCGCTCAGTATCGATGGTGCTAGACGATTTGCATACGGAGCACCCCGCTTGCGGATAAGAGTGAGGGGGCGGGCGCGGGCGACGCGGGCGTCGAGCCGGCGGACCTTGCGGCCCTCACCTTCCCTGTCGATGGTGCCCTCCTCCTCCTCCTCCTCCTCCTCCTGCTCCTCCTCCTCCTCCTCTTCCTCGTCCGCGTTCTCGTCCTCATCGTCGTCGTCGTCGTCGTCGTCGTCGTCGTCGTCGTCGTCGTCGTCGTCCGCCTCCTCCTCTTTCTCCTCCTCTTCCTCGTCCGCGTTCTCGTCCTCATCGTCATCGTCGTCGTCGTCGTCGTCGTCGTCGTCGTCGTCGTCGTCCGCCTCCTCCACCTCCTCCTCCTCTTCCTCCTCCTCCTCATCCTCCTCCCTCCTCCTCCTCCTCCTCCTCCTCCTCCTCCTCCTCCTCCTCCCCTCATCCCGATCCCCCCACCCTCTTCCTTTCCGTCGTTGTCGTCGTCCTCCTCCTCCTTCCCCTCCCCCTCCCTCCTTTCTCGTCGTCCCCCTCCGTCCTCCCCTCCTTTTCCTCCTCGCCCTCGTCGTCGGCCTCTTTGCGTGCTCTGAACTTGTCAGACCGCGCCGATTTGCCTGCTCTGGCAAGTTCACCGCGGGGGGGATCGCTGGTGTGCCACCTGGAACGGATGCGAAAACAGCCCGCCGCAGGCGCCGAATTTTTGGCTTGTTCAGTGAACGCAGTTTGGGTCGCGGGTGGGTCGCGGGCTCTCCACCTCCACCTGGAAGCAATTCAAAAACAGCCCGCCGCAGGCGCCGAACATTTTGATTTGTACACTGAACGCAGTTTGGGTCGCAGGTTCTCCACCTGAAACGAATGCAAAAGAAGCCCGCCGCAGGCGTCGAAAACTTTGGGTGGGTCGCGGGTGGGTCGCGGGTGGGTCGCGGGTGGGTCGCGGGTGGGTCGCGGGTGGGTCGCGGGTGGGTCGCGGGTGGGTCGCGCGGGTGGGTCGCGGGTGGGTCGCCGGTGGGTCGCAGGTAGGTCGCCGAGTGGGTCGCGGGGTGGGTCGCGGGTGGGTCGCGGGTGGGTCGCGGGTGGGTCGCGGGGTGGGTCGCGGGTTGGGTCGCGGGGTGGGTCGCGGGTGGGTCGCGGGTGGGTCGCGGGGTGGGTCGCGGGTGGGTCGCGGGGTGGGTCGCGGGTGGGGCGCGGATGGGTCGCGGGTTGGGTCGCGGGTGGGTTGCGGGGCGGGTCGTGGGTGGGACGACGACAACAACAAATATCAAACAACAGACAACAACCAACAAACACCAAGCAGCAAATAACAAAGAACAAGGAACACACAACAAACAACAAGCAACAAACAACAACAAACAACAACAGCAACAACAACAACAACAGCAGCAACAACAACAGCAACAGCTACAACAACACCAACAACAACAATCATCCACATCGCGGAATTCCACTTCAGCCACGCACCCAGCGACAGTGAATGATCGTTCGGTTCAGCCTCCTCACTCTGATCTTACACGCCCGCCCGCCCTCTGTCAGGACGTGCGTGGACGCGAAGCGTGCAAGGGGGGGAGGAGGGGGATGCGGATGCGGAGGAGGAGGAGGAGGAGGAGGAGGAGGAGGAGGAGGAGAGATCCTGCTGCAGTCGTGAGATGAGAGCGGCCCTCTGCAAACAGATAGCCGGCCTCGAGGACGACGAGGATGCCGACCTGGGCGAAGATGCGGAGCACCAGATGGCCGCGCACCGCCTCCTCCTGTGGTCCACGTGTTCCTCCTCTTCCCGCTGCCATTTTGTCCGCCGGGCTCCCCAGCAGTCTACCCTCACTATCCCCCCCCCTCCCGTTCCCCCTCCTCTCCCTGCCGCTCCCACTCACCCACGTCACCCCCGCGCGTACGCCTTCTTTCCTCCTTCTTTCCTCCCTCCCTGGCTTTCTTCTCGTTCTTGTTGCTCCATCTCTTCCGCATCACTCTCCCTCCCATTTCCTTCTCTCCGCTCTCCCCCGTCCAGGAGCTCGGCCTCATTTCCCCATCACCTCGGCTTCTCTGCGAACTGTTTCGAGCCAGGTAAACACGGACACCTCGGTGTCTGGGCCTCAACCCCCCGCGCTGACCTTCAGGGGTCCCAGCTCCCGCGGATCTGCGTGCTTCGCTTCGCTGCGTCCAGGATGATGTGAGGGCCAGCGGGAGGAGGATGGACGAGGATGATGATGATGATGATGATGATGATGATGCTGCTGCTGATGATGATGAGGATGATGATGAGGATGAGGATGAGGATGAGGATGAGTGGATGATGATGATGAGGAGGAGGAGGAGGCGGTGGAGGAGGAGGAGGCGGTGGAACAGGCGGAGGCAGATGACGTTTACGAAGGCGACGAGGAGGCGGAGAGCGAGGAGGCGCTGCCCACCAGGCTGCCACCGCGGCGGCGCCCGCCGGCGAACGCCGGCAGAGGCCGCGGGGGGCCGACGCAGGCCTGGGCGGTCCCGCTCTCGCGAGCGCCGCCGCCGCCGCCGCCGCCGCTCGCCTGCCTCCGGCGGCCCCTCGGCGGCCCCTCGGTGGCCCTCGGCGGCCCTCGGCGGGGAGGTGGGGGAGGAGGAGGACTGAGGAGGAGGAGGGGGAGGAGGACGACTGAGGAGAGGAGGAGGGGGAGGAGGAGGACAGAGGAGGATGAACAGGAGGAGGAGGAGGAGGAGGAGGAGGAGGAGGAGGAGGAGGAGGAGGAAGTGGACCCCTCAACCTTCACACACTGCCGCCGCTCGCCCGAGTCTGTCGGGTCGCGCGCCTCGCGAAAAGAGACCAGCTTGAGCGAGGGCTCAACGAACACCCCCCCCACCCACTCCAAGACCGTCAGACCATTACCCCGGCGAAGGACCCAACCATATGCATCCGCAAGCGCCGCGCGTGAATCTCCCGCCCCCTGCGGAGCTCCAATCGACATCCTAAGCGCGTGAACCCATGAGGCAATTGACCTCAGACGGCCAAGATTGGGAAAGCGCGTCAGTGGATCTCCCTGAATACACAAAAGGGGGGGGTGCTCGCAGAACCCCCCCCCTCCCCCCCCCTTCAAAGGGGGGGTGAGATGTTCGACCCCTCCCCCTTCCCCCCCTTAAAGGGGGAGGGGTCCGAACCCCACCCCCCCTTGAAGGAATGGGGTTTCCGGGCCCCCCCCCCCTCCCCCCTTGGCGCTGGAAAGGGGGGGGGGGGTCGAACGTCCCCCCCCCCTCCCCCCCTTTCCGCCGAACAGCGGGCCGGGGAGGGGGTTTCTCGGGTAGTGAGTAGAGAATCGAGTTTCTTGAGTAGCGATTAGTGAGTAGTGGGTCTTGATAGTGAGTAGTGCGCAGTGAGTCGTGAGTAGTGAGTCGTGAATCGTGGGTAATGGGTTGTGGTAGTAGTGAGTAGCGCGTAGAGATTTGTGAGTAGTGGGTAGTGGGTAGTGGGTAGTGAGTAGTGGGAAGGAAATAGTGATTAAGGAACGGTGAGTAGTGAGTAGTGAGGAGTGAGTAGTGTGTAGTGACTAGTGCATAGTGAGTAGCAAGCAGGGAGTAGGGATAAGGGAGTAGACAGTAGCGAATAGCTAGGAATGCGTAGTGGGTGGTGCGCAGCGAGTAGAGAGTAGTGAGTAGTGAGTGGTGAGTCGCGAGTAGCGAGTAGCGAGTAGGGGTAGCGAGTAGGGCGTAGCGAGTAGTGAGTAGTGAGTAGCAAGTTGTGCGCTGTGGGTGAGGAGTAGAGGGGAGGGAATAGGCAGGAGTCAGTAGTGAGTACTGCGTAGGGAGTAGTGCGTAGCGAGTAGGGAGTAGCGACTAGCGAGCAGGGAGTAGTGAGTAGTAAGTATTGAGTAGTGAGAAGCGAGAAATGGGTATTGAGTAGTGGGTAGTGAGTAGGGAGAAGCGAGTAGAAAGCGAGTAAGCATTAGTGAGTAGTGAATCGAGAGCAGTCAGTAGTGGGTAATGAGAAGTGAGTAGCGACTTGCGACTAGTGACTAGTGTGTAGTGGGTTGTGTGCAGTGAGTAGTGAGTAGCGAGTAGTGCGTAGTTAGTAGTGAATATTTCGTATTGGGTAGCGTGTAGCGGATAGTGAGTAGTGAGTTGTGGACAGTGCGTAGTGAGTAGTCTATTGTGAGTACTCAGTAGTAAGTAGTGGATAACGGTTAGTGGGTAGTGAGTAGTGCTTAGTGAGTAGGGAGTATTGGGCAGCGAGTAGTGTGCAGTGAGTAGTGAGTATTGAATATTGGGTAGTGAGTGGGGAGTAGTGAATTGGGAGTACTGAGTAGGGAGGAGGAAGTAGTGAGTAGTGAGTAGTGGGAGCGTAGTGAGTAGTGAGTTGTGGGTAGGGAATAGTGTGTATTGGGTAGCGAGTAGGCCGTAGGGACTGGCGAGTAGTGAGTAGTAAGTAGTGAGTACTGTGTAGGGAGTAGGGAGTAGCGAGTAGCGAGTAGTGGGTATTGAGTAGTGAGTTGTGGGCAGTGAGTAGTGAATAGTGGAGTGTGAGTAGTGGATAGTAGTTAGTGGGTAGCGACTAATGATTTGTGATTAGTGAGTAGTGGGTAGTGAGTAGTGTTTAGTGAGTAGTGGGTAGTGACTAGTGGTTAGTGAGTAGTGGGTAGTGTGTAGTGAGTAGTGAGTAATGAGGAGTGAGTTATGTTTAGTGAGTAGTACGTATTGATTATTAGGTAGTGGGTAGTGAGTAGTTTGTAGTGAGTAGTGAGTAGGGAGTCGGGAGTAGTGGGTAGTGGGTAGTGAGTCGTGTGTAGTGAGTAGTGAGTCGTGGGTAGTGAGTAGTGCGTAATGAGTAGTGAAAACTGTTTGGGGCTAGGCTTTAGGTTTGGGGTTAGGGTCAGGGGTTAGGGTAAGGGTGAGGATTTGTGGTAGGGGTGGTGGGGGTCGGGTTCCGGAGACCGTGGGCGCCGTGGCGAAAGTGGGGGAGGGGGGGGGTCGAATTCGGCTGCCAAAGGGGGGGAGGGCGGGGGGTTGG